AACCAAGAGTAAACGATCCCTTTAATAAAAATGTATCTTTATGTCTGCATTTACTAACAAGTTCGTTTCTCTTGTTCAGTGTCGCGGTCTCAGGTTTGCACAATATGTAGAACTTCTCTGGTTGCATTTCTCTTTTGCAAATAGGTTGCATTTCTTCGTAGTGTTCGAGTAGTGTGGCGCTTTGCTCAGTATCTTCCATTTAATCGCGTAGTCTAGGTTGTTGTGTTCCAAGTTCCAAATATGTTTACTAAGTTCTGTCGAGTTCCGTTTTGATTCCGTAGTAAAGGATGCCTTATGGTTCGCTAGTCTCGCTTTAAGTAAGGAGGGAATGTTCCCCCTTCTTTTACACCTCTTGATCTTTGACCCCCAGCTTCGACATCCCAACTCGTTTTTGGATTCCCCCCCCCACGTCCCGACTTTCGAATCCGTACGTCGAGCCGTTTAGATTTGTGCCCAACTGTTGACCGACGCACGCACGCACGGACGCACGCACGTTCATGCGATTCTACAAGCTATACGTCGGATGAGCTAATAAACAACGGGTGTGATAGCCATGTTGATGTACTACCAGTCCATGCAATGTCATATTGACTAAGCAGATACTCAGTGGGAAAGAATTCATCGGACAGGTGCGGATCGATGACAACATCGGTATTTAATGGCATGATATTTGCGATGCCAATAAATAAATAAATCTTTGATAAATACGGACGAATTTACAGGACCTATTATCTGGAAGAAGATAGGGGCCCCTACCTCAACACGACGCGCTCATTCCGACGTGTGCCACATGGAAAATTCTCACAGCTTGTTTACAAGAAAGATATAGGGGTCCCGGAGCAAAGCGTAACACGGGGCAAAGTGAAATTGTCTCAGCAGATCTATGTTGATGCCCCCATCTATCTGTGACTGTTTTCATTAGAAGCTCAGTTGATGAGGCATCGTTTTGGATGGATGCCATTTGCATGAATCAGCTATGTACATTTTTTTGGACGAAAGACTGTTTTTTATGTGTTTAAACGGATATTTCTTAAAAATGAATCATCTGCTAAATCACTGTGATCTTGTGGAATTCTTATGTAGGCTATTTTGTTGAATCTAATTAGGCCTATGTGTGCCATATGCATGATGACATTCTTTGCGTAGTTGTCTGCACAGCGTAACGCCACATGTCTAGAAACCAAAGATCGTATAACACCTCCGTATATAACCTCCGTATAAGTACCTCGTATAATAACCTCCGTATAAGCAGGCTCGTAGCCAGCTTTCTATTGGGGGGGGGGGGGGTTCGTTTTTCAATGTTGGCAATTTGCTCGGCAGGGGCGTGTACAGG